AAAAATCAGTCACTTCGCCTCGGATGGGATATCCAAGTAAGCACAGCCCCTTTCCTGCATCTGACATTTTACATAGATAATTAACTCCACATTTTTTTCCTGAGGGAAGTTAAAAAAAAAAAAAAAAGACTCAGGAACTAAAAGTTTTTTCACAGACCAGGAGGCAGCCTCTAGCGTTCACAAAAAAAAGAGACGAGTGCAATGGGAGAGGGACGGGGGAAGGAAAACAACCAGCCGAACCAGGGCTGGAGGGCTTCTAAAAGGTGGTAATGGTGTGTAGGGGAGAAAACTGGTGGCAGATAACTTTAAACATTTTTTCTCCTGGGTTTTCTTCCTGCTCTCCAACTCTGCTCCATGGGCTGAGACTTCCCTCCCCTTTTCCAGGGGATGCGGTGTGTGTTGCACCCACAGACCCTGGCGCCTGGCAGACCCCAGTTGGGCCACCCTGGCAGGGTCGGATCCTGCCTTGCCTGCTCGGGGCTGAAGGCTGGGTTTGGCCAGGCCACCCGCCCACCCGGTACCACCACCAAACCGTAGCAGCTTTGCCCTCCTGCACCAGCAACGCCACCTTCATAAACTGATTGTAACAAGAGCGTTCGGAGTTGGGTGAGGGATTCTTATGTTGGTTAATCACCCCTTTTGGTCTAATTAAAAATCATGAAGGAATTAAATGAAAGGCTGCCCAGGAACCCGGGCTGGCAGGATAGCGATGCTAGCAGCTCCAAGCAGGGCAGCTGGGGGCACTGACAGTGGGAACGAGCGCATGGTACCAAAGGAAACTGCTCAGGACAGCATCTAACCACTTCTCTTTTTTTTTTGGTCTTGTATCTGACCTCAGCCTTCCGTCTGTGTGCTGGCAAACCATTGCCGGGCCAAATCCTGCACAGAGGCGCATATCCTGCTGGGTCCCTGGTATTTTGCTGCCTGTGGAGGCAGGCAGGCAGGGAGGGCAGGTAGGACCCCCCAGCGAGGACACACTTCCCTGCTGCTTTTCGCAGAGCAGCAGACTACAACCCAAGTACTAGAGATTGCGCCTCAGCAAGGGCAGGTTTTCCAGGAATGTGTTTAGACACATACCTGGGCATATTTGGGCCAGCCTGAGAGGAAGAAAACAAAATGGCTGTTTTCATATTTTACTTGTATATGTGCAGTATAAAAAGAAAGGAGAAAAAGGAGATCTTGAACTTTCCTCCAATCCTTTCATTACACCTCAGTGACATGCGCACAGGCGCCATCTCCCACCTCACTTGTGAGAAGATGGCTCCTTTGCTCCCTATTGCCCCATGGGACTAAGGACAAACCCATCAGTTTTGGCCCAAAATGGTGCCCCATGGTGACAGTCACCCAACTGGAGGCCAAGCTGCCTCTGGAGGACACATATCAAGGTCTCTCTCTCTTTCCCCTGGCCATGGCAGAGGTGTGGGTGCCTAATTTAGGCTCCTCGGATGCCTTAAGTGAGCGGAAAGAATCCTCACGTGGGAGTTCTCCCCCAGCTGAGGGGGCCAGCCCACATCAGCTGTGGGCATGCTGCCCAGCCCAGCTCACCACCTCCACTGCAGGGCCAACCATCCACCCTTCCCCGCACCGGTCAGAGCCTGGCCCTTGTGAGAAGAGCCCACGGCTTTCGGCAGCTGGCTTCAGCGTCCCTCCATCCTCAAATCTGCTGATTGAAAATGATCCTTATTCAAATTCCCTGGGTTAAATTCAGTTTTGAGTTTAAAGTGAGGAAAGAAGGAGAAAAAAAAAAAAGAAAAAAAAAGAAAAAAAAAGAGACCTGTCATTGTAACAGCAAATAAACAAACAAAACAGCCTTTCTTGTACTTAAAGGGAAACTGAAATTACAGTTTTATATTTGCATTTACAAGACCCCTCAGGCTACTACCGTGTGCATTTTCATAACAAAAAGATTGTACTGTTAATTGATGCAAGCCATGGGGGCACAAGTAAGTCTGAATCTTGGACAGTTTCTTAAGGGAGCAGCTGCTGCAATTCTGCAGTTCACATTTGACAATGGGTAAGGCAGCAGCACCAAAACCCAGCTTCTGTGCCTTTCTCAATAACATGCGAGAGATTCATTAGTAATAATTAATTGTTTATTCATAAATGCAATTATTGAATACACCATGCAACAGCTATCCATTTAGGGCTCAGTTTTTCCTGTCAGTCAGATTCTAAATTCCCACTATGGACTGAAGGGTTTTTTCTTGACACAAATTAACTGAACCAATTGCATTTATGTCATCAGTGAATTTTGCCTCACATCTTTGGAGACCGATTTCACAACATTTTCACCACTTTCCCATTTCCCATACGCCAGTGAACAAGGAATGCAGCACTGATATAATCTATGGGAAGATAAAATATTTGCAGTAACACTTGTTCTTGCCCAGATTTAAACATTAACTGGGCTATTTCAGAACCCAACAATATGAAAACAGGAATTGTGTTTTATTCATTCCATTTTGTCATTTTAAGAGAATAATCTCTCCAAGACTACTCCTGTAACAGGAAAAGGGGCAGGAACTGGATGCTGCCCCTTGCACCTTTGTATCTGTGGGACACGACTGTATGTAAACCTGCTAATTACATGGCAACAATTTAAAATTTTAAGAGAGAAGCTCTTCCTCATTCAGCATGACCGGTCATCATGATGCAGGCCAAAGGGTATCACTTCTGTCAAAAAAAAAAAAAAAGTAGTAAAGTAAAATAGTTCTTGTTTTTACTTTTTCTCAGTCATCCATAGAAGAGCATGTCCAAGGTCCAGGTTGGGGAAAGAGGAGTCTTTCAAGAGCTCGTGTTTCTATCTGGTACACTGGGTGGGTTTGGGGAGAGAGAAGGGAAGGGGGGCAGCTCCAGTTTCTGCTCTGAGGTTCATGGAAGTAGTTTATCCCACACATTACATTTAATGTAAAAACTATTTTTTGGAGCAGGGAATGGATCTGTAGCCTGCCCCTACAGCCCCACTTACCCTATCCCACTCCCCTTGTCCCAGCACAACTTTAGTTAGTCCCTACGATGCGTTTCTTTAGTCCAGCATCACTGCTGGGGTGCAGGGACAGCCTGGCAAGCAGCACTTTCCTTCGCCAGCAATGGACCCCGTGCTCCTGGGGCTGCTCCTCGGCCATGCAGGATGCGGCCCCAGTACTCCTGGCTGCCCCGCTTGCAAGTGTGGAGAACCTCTCCTGCTCCTCCCAATGTGCTGCAAACAAGAACGATGTTGCAGGGCAGTTTGATGTCTGAAGTGTGTGTGGTTGCACACTCATTTTGATGCACAGCCCAGCGTCAAACCACCGCTGCCCCCTCAAGACCTACAGCGGGGTTTTATATAGGAACAACTTTGCTTTTCCATCATGGGGAGGATTTGGCAGCAACCCTTCTGGAGAGGGGCCATGCAGCAGGGAAGGACCAGGCCCTGCCTATTGTATTTCTTAGAGCCTTTAATGACCATGTCTATAGCAAGCCTAAAATAAGAAAGTAAGCTGTGTTCAGTCCGCTGATTGTTATCCATATTTTATCTGAGATTGTTCCCCACCAAATGGGGAAATCAGAGCAAAGTTACATGCTGCACATCAGGTGGCCTAAACTGGAGTCACGAGGCCAGAATACCAGTAAACTTCTGGGAAGTCCAAAGCTGAACCACCACTACTGTGTTCAAGACTATTTTTAGCACCATCAGCTGCTGCTGGAGAAAACACCATGAGAGGGGCTGTGAGCCGTGGGAGGGAGCTGGGGGCATTGCCAAGCCCACCCCAAGGTGGGAGGAGGTTAAGGGCAGGAGAGCTGCCACATCCCCTGCCTGTTTTCACACACCGGCCACCTTCGCTGGCACCGGGTTGTCCAATCTGCACAATCATTGCTGCCCTGTTAGGAAATGTTTGCTAAGGCTGGACTTAGATCTGTCCTTGCAGAGAGAGGCAAATAAAAGTGAAATTCAAAAGGGGACAAATTCTGCCCTCTCCAGCGCTACTGAGAAGAATCAGGCCTCAAAAACCTTCATGTCATTTAAAAAAATTTGCTGATAAATACCCTGATACAGCATTTGCTGCTCTTCAGGAAATTGGGTATCCAGACCGATGCAGGCCAGAAGGGTCATCCCTCAAGCACGTGCCTCGGTGACCCACAGGGTAGGAAGCTCTGTGGTCACGGACCCATTCCTGGCATCCCAGATCACTCGGGGTCAGATGCATTTGATTTGCCAACAACCTTCAAGTCCAGTCTCTTTTGAAATCAGCTTCTGTATTACTGCCAAATTTCACAATCCTGGTGTTTCTCCTTAATTTAATTTAGTTCCTCTAAATCTTGCTGGCTCCTGAGATTAGAGGATTCCACTTTGCATTATTACAAAGAAGAAAAAAAAAAAAGATAAATTTCAAATGACATGGTTACGACAAAAAGCTTGAAAGTGTGACCTCCAAATCTTATCTGAAAGATCAAAACGCACAAGCTGTAGAAAAAGACGCCTTTTGATTTAATCCGAAGATTTTCTGAAATCCCACGATTCGAAGGAGCCTGATTTATGACTTGGGGGCACTAGGGACTGGTAACACCTTGTGTACAGCCGTAGTTGTGCCTCTGTCTTCAGTCTGCCGTTTCTGTCCTCAAAAAAGAGAATAACAGCACCACCTACTGCCCTTCCTTAGCATTTGCTTGGAAAACCCAAACCCCTCACCTCCACCAAAGCCGCTCCAGCAGGTCATGGCCGTGGTTTCCCATTGCCTGGCGATACAGCCGAGTAGTGACGGAGAAATTGGAGCAAACTCGGACTGCAAAAATTAAAAGCAGTGTCTTAATTATGAAAGACGCACGTTAATTATAGAAATTCCAGCCCTGAATAATACACCTTCTCCCCAACTGGTGGCATTAAAAAGGATTTCAATAGACCAGTATTTTTATACGCTTCCCTCAAATCCTTTCATGTGTTTATTAGCAGAGCCTTAAAGGGCTGTCTGTATAATTCACAATTTCTACCGGGCAGGCATTTTCACTGTCAACAACAGTTAATGAAAGAGGTGGTACATCGCCGCCCCGTTTCAACCCGGGTAAAATCTGGGCCTGTGCTTTGCACTGGCAAGCTCCCAGAAGTTTGTTTGAAAGTCAAGAATGTGCCATGGTTTAATTACGCTTCTAGGTCAGGATCTAAATGAAAGCCCCGTTATAAACAGCAGTCTCAGAGGAAAGGTCCACATTCGAGTTTTTAGCCCCGAATTGATTACTGGTTAACTTGGGGTAGTTAACACATTTGTAACGTCTGGTCTGGACACTTCCCAGATGTTTGTTGCTGGATACAAACATTTGTGGTTTATAATGTAAACAGGTACACCTACATTTTTTCAGTCTGGACTGATTTCTCGTCACAGGCTATCTCAATAACCTGGCTGAAAGTACTCAGCATCTAAATGAAAAGTGAAAGGAAAAAAAAAATCTTTTTCCATGTCTAGACCAAACCATTTCATGGGCCACCCCACAGCTTTTGGCATCGCCTTCAAAGTGTGAAGCCCCTGATGATGAACACGGGCGCTGACAGGGCAGGTGCATGGCTGGCCACCGGCACCGTGGGGCAGCAGGAAAGGTGATTCTCAGCCAAGGAGCAGCCTTGAAGGTGGTGTGCATGGGCTTGCATCTTCTGAACACGAGCCAAGATGCTGCTCTGATGGGTTGATACTGGAGGGGTCTGGGCGCATAAGTAGAGAAGCAGGGAGAGGCTTTTGAAAGGCAACTTGAAGTAAAATATATATGGAGCAATGGTGGGGTTTGTCAAGAGATGAAGCAATGCAAGAAAAAATGAAGCACATGGCCCCATGTGTGGGGGTCCCCGTATCAATCCTGTCTTGCACAACTATATGACATGCAAATGGAGATGCGCCAGGGGAGAGCTCCAACATCGCTGCTGCCTCACATGAGATGCGAGGGTCAGGCCATGTATTTGTATACAATGCATGAGTCCCTGGGCTTATCTGCTCTCAAGTCTCTATCTCGATAATTCATTGTCAGTGCTCCTCAAGTATTTAAATGTGTTTGCAGGGGCCAAGCTGGACCCTCCCCAAATATTTGCTGCAGCACACAAATTGGGTTTGCTGTAACCCTGGCCATCCATGCCTCAATCCCTCCATGCTACACAATGTCCAGGGAGGCGTAAAGGGGCTGCCGAACCAAGTTCTGCCACAGAGGAAGTTTCCTCCATCTGCACTGAAACTGCGAAGGAACCCCTCGCAACAAAATGGGGAGAAAAGAGGTT